CAGGTCAAACATGCAGCAGAGTCTTTTCCTGTGCGACCCTGCAGTTGTGAAGTGTTGTTAATGCGCATCTGCAGAGACACTGACGACAGTGTAGGGTGCTATGTTCTTCCATGTTTAACGTGCTTGAGGATGCAAAGAAAGGCAAGGACAAGTCCAGGTTGCACTACTTTTTTGAAACTTGCCATTAGTTAGTGTCACAGAAATCACTCAAGAGGAGTCCTGCCTTCATTATACTCCAGAGAGCATAGGAAATGGTTTTAAGGAAGAATTTTTAAATCTGTGCGGTTCTGTAGGACACTTGACCAGGCACAGAGGTACAAAATTGAACTCCCAAAAGGAAGTTGTGACTTGGGAGTTGGGTGTCTAACATTTGGAACCTTCCCATCAGAATGTTCCTTTTTTGGTTCTCGTGGAATCTGAAAATTGGAAGGATTTTGGAAATCATTTAGCCTAACCTTTTCTTTTATGTACAGATGAGAAACTTACCACAAGTCACACAATTACTGGGGGCAGAGCCATGACTGAGCCCCTGCCTTTCTTGGCAGGCCAACCCTGAGGAAAGATGACTACATTGTGAGGAGAATGAAGGATGCACACTTTGCTTAGGTAGGTACTTGGGATCTGTGACCCAGTGGCTCAACAAAGGCTGCTCTTGGACAAGCCATACCTCACTAAGATGGGGCAGAAGTGAGCACAGCTCCTATGACATTCCCCTGAGCATCAGAATAGTTGTTCTCCTTTTTGTGCTGCACCTACTCACTTATTTTTAGGTCTTGAGGAAAGATCAAGCACCATCAGCAGGGTTGCAAGGGCATACTACTTTCTGCCATCAGACAGTCAGCTGTAATCAGCCCTGGTCCCCAGCAATGTCCATCATTTGGAGGAATATAAAAGTAGAACCAAATGGGTGGCTGGTTGCCCAATCATGTACAGAACTAGCTGGAACCTTCAGCAAATCATTGAACCTAGTTGAGTATCAATGTGCTCAATTCAAAAATGGAAGGAATCGGACCACGCACTTTCTCTGTGTTCTTTTGGGTGTCCCTTTTCTATTTCACTGGGCTGTTGTGAGGATTGGAAATGCTGAATCAGAATTTCGTAATACACAGCTGAGTAGAGCTGCAGATTCTTAATGCTCGGATCACTGTTCTCTGACCATATCCCCTTGACTTCCCACTGGGGCATTTGACCCACATTTCAATTTGTATCATTTCGAGGAAATGAATCAATGGAAAAGAGATGGTTAAAATCCATAGCCTGGAGAAGAGTTTCTGATGTAAATCTTAGAATGAAAGAGCTAGTATCATTTTTTTCCAAAGAGAAAGTTCTGTTTTTCAGCTGTGTTTTTGTTTATTAGAATTGCCATTTTCAAGTCTTATTAAAGTTTGGTAATTTCATGATTATTGCCAGAAGAATTGAAGCATACAATTGGTTTTAAAAACACATCTTTTGATATCACAATAATATACATTCATGTAGATTGGGAAGAAATGTATAAAAATATGAAAAGAAAAAAATAACATTAGCATTCAGAAGTAATAGCGGAAAACATTTAGTTTCTTTCTAGTCTTCTTATGTAAGTATAAATTTGGATTATACTTGTAACACCTGCAAGGTTTCTTCTTAGGATCTATTAAATACTCAGGTCCACAGAAACTACACACACATCAGAGGATGCAGGAGTCACGCTGGCTTCGAAGCCACATGCCCTATAGGAGTCAATATGTGGTGTAGCCCCTCCATAGCCATAGTTTCCAGGGTCCCTGCAGTTGGAAGTCATCTTAGGGCACTCCCTGAGTAATAATAGTTCGGAGAACAGACACAGTTCACCCATCGGGTGAATTTTGCTTAGTGATATAGTAAATACATATCATTTTTTGGCTTTAAAAAAAATCTTAACATTAATCACAAGCACATTCCATCACTATTAAAATTATTGCTGAGATGACCATCCCTATACACAAATCTTGGTATTTGTATAAAACTCTAACACATTCCTTAACATAAATCCCAGGAAAGAAACTGAGTGGGTCTGAAGTTTATAAAGCTCTTTGACAAACTGCCCTTCAGAAAGAAAATATCAGTTTACACTTTGACTTGAATTGTATGAATGTACTTTCAACAACATGGACTATGTTCCTTTAAAACATTTGCCAGTTCTATATAGGGGAACGTGCTGTATCTTTTAAAATTATTTTTCTTTGATAATGTTTAGTGCACAGTCTTTATTGTTTTGTTAATTGTCTATTCTCTCATTCTTATTTTAGGAAGCTCATCTTTTTAAGTATTAAGAATGTGCTGCAGGGCCGGCCCGTGGCTCATTCGGTAGAGTGCGGTGCTGATAACACCAAGGCCCCGGGTTCGGATCCCATATAGGGATGGCCGGTTCGCTCACTGGCTGAGCGTGGTGCTGACAACCCTTGACTTGGTGTTAAGATCCCCTTACCGGTCATCTTTTTTAAAAAAAAAAAAAAAAAAAGAATGTGCTGCAGACTTTTTTTGCAGTCTTTGTTTTTAGTATGAATTAAAAGCCACCATGAGATATCAGCTCACTTCAATTAGAATTGCTGTTATCAACAAGACAGAAAATAGCAAAATGCTGGTGAGGATGTGGAAAAAAAGGAATTGTCCTACACTGGTGGAGGGGGTATAAATTGGTACAGCCATTGTGGAAAACAGATCTATTTTTAGTTCTCTGAGGAACCTCCATACTACCTTTCAACCCAGCTATCCCACTACTGGGTATATACCCAAAGGAAATGAAATCAATATATCAAAGACACCTGCCTTCCCACATTCATTGCAATACAATAGCCGAGAGATGGCTAAATGCCCAACAACAGAAGAATGGGTGCAGCAATTGGGGAATACATACACAATGGAATACTATTCAGCTATAAAAAGAAATGCTATCTTTTCATTTGCAGCAACATGAATGAAACTGGAAACCATCATGTTAACTGAAGTCAGGCACAAAAAGACAAATACCACATGATCTCATATGAGGACTCTTAAAAAAAAAAAAAAGTGGCTGTCATAGAAGTAAAGAGTAGAATAATGGTTTCCGGAGTATGGGAGAGGGGAGGGGGAAGGAAGAAAAGTGGCAGAGTAATAGGTACAAAACTGTGCTATTTACCATGAATGAATCATTGTACAGTATACGCATGTATGGAAACAGCACACTGTACTCCACAGATATGTACAAGTAAATGTTAAGATACCTTGGAAAAAATGTAAAAAACAAAGATTTTTATTTTTAGACAAATCTACCAATTTTTTTTATATGCTTGTATTAACACTCCTAAGTGAAATTGTTGTTATTATTGAGGGTGCTTTCGTGGGTACTTATGCGGATTTTCTTTCCAAGTCTTTGAAATCCATATTTTTCTTGTTTTATAATATGCATTGAAATGTTTTTCATTTATTTGTAGGCACTGGAATATTTTATATACTTGGGGATTTTTTATTCCCTGAATGTTTGGAAGAACCTTATTCTATAGCTGTATGTCCCCAGTACTAAAGGTAAATTTTAGACATGTTGAAAATTTTATTCTGTTAATGTCTTCAGCTTTGCTCATCTTTAAGGTATTGTTAGTAAATTATCTTTTCATAGACTGTTATCAATTTTATTGAAATGTAAGCAGACTTTAATGGTTTATGTATTTTTGCTTATATTCTTTTAAAAAATCAAAAAACTTCTGTTTTATATTAGACTAACATTTTAGTTTTCGAAAACTAACTCCATATTTTATTTACCAATTCTATTGTTCTAATTTTATGTTCATAACTTATGTTAATCTGTTTCAATGGGAAAATCTCTATAATTACAAAAAGCAGTTATAGGAGAACCTAGCCAATGATAAATATTTCCTGGGACTGTGAAGAAGAGAGGAAAATATGTTAGTCAATAGATTGCTCAGAGATGCATGTCTGAAAACATATAAAGATGTTGTGCTTAGAGGAAGAAACCAGGATCTGAGTCCAGACTGAGCCCACTGCCTCCTGATTTTATCTGGGGAGTAGAGGAACATGGGAGGGTGTCTTTTATGCTTTATTTTATTCCCCAGGCTGGAAAGAACAGGTAAAGGGAAAGGTCAGTGGGATGCAGAGATCAGCCTTCCTCTGGGGGTGGGCACAGCTAGAACCCGGCTGCCAGTTATCCTCATTTTGTGTGGGAGGGAACGGTAAGGTGATTTGCCCAAAGTCACACTGCCAGGATGTGAATCCAGGTGTATTGGGCTGCACAGTCTTCTCATTGAAGGGGGAGCTTTGTCCTAACTCATTATGTCCATATTGTTTCTCCTCACAATTCTATTCCATTTCTCATCTTAAAGCAAGCAAAACATTGGCATAGAAACACTTGAACTGAATACCTGAGCAATCAGTATATTCCTTAGCGTGCTAGACAGTATTTTTATTACTGTCCAGAAAAGTAGAGGGCAGGTAGTGGGGAGGAAGAGTCGGGAGAGGCAGCTATTAGAAGAGAAACGTGGGAAGGAAACTGACTTTGTAGCATGTTTAGACACAGAAAAGTTGCGATTTAATTGAATGTGATGGAACGTGAACGGAGCCAGAGCCAACAAGAATGAATCACAGCAATCTTCGGGTCAAGCGATTTCTCTCATTTCTGTCCTCTCTGGAAGTTCAATCAGAGCAGCAGGAGATACCGGCCCTGGGGAATCTATTCTACTCTGATCTGAGTCTTTACGTTGATGCCAGCACTTACATTTAGGATTTTTTTTTCAAGAGCATAGTTGCTATTCTTCACACATTAGCCAATCGTGACTGTTGATTTCAGACATTCATCCACACTTCAAAAGATAAGACCTATTTTAATGAGCTTTTAGGCAGCATTCCACTTACACTGTCTTGGCTGAAACAGGATACCACTGGGAAGGCTGCTGGTGAGTGCCCAGGAAGAGAGGAAGGAGGAGAAAATGCAGACAGGAAATATTCTTTGCTATCTGACAATAAAGAAGGGAGTCTATTTCTGTACTTACAATAGCAGTCGGGGTAGCAGCCAGCACACAGTAGAGCACCAGAGGGGTGATGAAGCTTTCCTCCTCTGTCCCCGGGTAAGGCTTCATCAAGTCTCCATCCTGACAGAAGAATCCTTGGATATGCACCTGAAAAGTGTCAGTGCATTCGAAGTAGTAGGCAAGCAGCACTGTCCCAGCCATGATGACAAGCTGAAAATACAGCATGGCCACACAGAGACATTAGCAGGGCTTCGGAGCAGAGCTCGCCCCACAGAGCACACTCCCTCCATCACCCCAGCCTGTGGCTCTCCTGGTACTGGCGCGTGCGTGCGTGCCTGGCTCAGCGTGCTCTGGCTCTGGGAGCGTGTGCTTGTTTGTCTGCCTTGTAACATCTGTTATAAAATCTTCCAGCAAATAATGAACAGCACTCATCTGAAAGGCAGACTACAGCCAGGCTTGGAGAGAGCCCCAACTCCTGCTGCCACCCTCTGAGTATGCATGGGAACCAAGGCAGTATTCCCAGTCAGGACAGAGGTGTCCTGGGAAAAGTCAAAGGGCAGTGGCATAAGAGTTGGCTAGATGTGAGTTCTGTTCACGAGAAATTTCATAAAATGTTAGAGGTAGGTGAATCGTGAATGAATGAATGAACTCACAGGAAAGCCAAAGCCTAGTTTTCAGAACGACATCCTAAATTTCTGTCAGGTATTCTACATGAGTCAGAACTTTTACCCTTTTCCAAAATGGTTTTGCCTTTATTCCCAAATGCTTTCCACCAGTAAAGCAAGGAATTTGCTGATCACAATATCTTCTTATAGACATATATATCTTTCATAAGATTTAGACGTAAAAAGAGACACAATAATCCTTTCATTTTGACTCAGAAATGTCCTAGGTGCTCACCAAGGTTTAAGATATAGCTTTTAATAGGTATGTGGAGTTGAAGGGATATGGAAATGTACCATCATCTTTCTCGTTTATATTTGGTAAATACCAAAATGCCAAGATAAGAGGGTCATAAATGTAGATAGAAAACTGGTCATTAAGTTTATGAACTTATAGAAACAGGCTGGAAGAGATCTTAAAGTTCTTCCAGTCTAACATCTTTATTTCACAAATGAGAAAACTGAGGCCCAGAAAGGGAAACTGACCACTTAAACTAAACATGTGCTTAGAATGCACATTAACAATTCAGGGAAACTTAAATGGAGAAAAAATATTTTTAAATATTGATTTCTTTAAAGATATCAAAGTATTTATTATGGGAAAAAATCAGAACTTGGTAGGACATTGTTATACATTTATGGCTTAAAGTTGTTTTTATTTGGAAGTGCATAAAAGTCAGTAAGGGGGAAATCCTCTTTTCAGAGCTTAGGAAGTCTAAAGTTCTTATTCCGGCCCTGTAGTGACTAACCCAAGGTCACATAGCTGGTTAGTGTGAAAGCCAGGATTAGAAACCTGATCTCTAGGAAAAAAACAGAAAACAATCTGTGTCAGGGTATCAAAACTGCATCCTATTCAAAAGGGTGGAGGACTATGGGGGAGGCACAGTAGCTCAACTTCAGCGCAGAGAGGCACTGTTGGGCATTCTTATCCATTTTCCTATCTGTCATGTTAGCCACAACAATGAAGCTTTACACCCTCACTCTAACCCACTCTGGAACCAGCACATCCGCCTCACCACAGCAGAAGGCACCATTTTCTTTATAGTCATTTGGATTTAGCAATACTCCCCATCCTTCCAATCTTCCCTCTTTCAACATCTTTCCATCTTCCAGCTGTAGTGTGTCTCACGTACAAACATAAAGGTCTTTACCTCTTGGTCACATCCATCCGCACCTTTCTTTTTATTCCAAGTAGGTCACAAATCAGACTCTTCATTCTCTACCCCTTATGCACAGCAGAAGGCACCATTTTCTTTATAGTCATTTGGATTTAGCAATACTCCCCATCCTTCCAATCTTCCCTCTTTCAACATCTTTCCATCTCCCAGTTGTAGTGTGTCTCACGTACAAACATAAAGGTCTTTACCTCTTGGTCACATCCATCCACACCTTTCTTTTTATTCCAAGTAGGTCACAAATCAGACTCTTCATTCTCTACCCCTTATGCATGATTTGTTTCTGGATCTACGAGGATTATATTCTAGCGTTTGGCATTTTCTACCCAGTGGATCTCCTGTCACAGCTTCTGGCCATCCAGTAATCTCTGAACACTCCCATGTATTTCTCCACACCTGAAGTTGTGAAGTACCATGGGTAAGGCGCCAGCCTTCATACTAGCCATATCTGCTGGTTCAGGCATTTGGTTTTTTCTTATAGCAACAGAGAAGAGACCTGGATAAGTATGCTTCCTATAAGACTGAGAGATAGGTACTACAAAGCTGTTCCTGCTAGTGGGCACTCTTGTCTGCAGCTAGTTTACAAAGTCAAAGCCATGAAGTTTCTATTTCTTTGTGCTTGACTGATCAACTGAGTTGACCTGATGGGAAGGAACTTATCCAGCTGACTTCAATGTTTTGAAGGTGTAATACCACTAGGATTCCAACAGTTTTGAGGCTCTGCCTCTGCAGCTTTCTCTGTCTCCTGCACAGGGCTCATCTGGAATTTTTGTGTATCTCATCCATGTGGCTGAAAACATCTCTCTCGGCTTGCTCTACCTAGAAAGAGTGTTGTATTTTACTGGGTGCTTTTGTGTTACCACTCCTTTGAAAAAAGGGAAAGGTGAAAGTGAAGTAAACAAAAGCAAGAATATATATGTAGGAAAAGAACTCCATGTATAATAATACAAACTTTTTAAACATAGAACTGTTTTAACAAATAAATCAAAATCAACAACAGAACAGTCAACATCATATACATAAATTTGAAATCTACAGAACAAATCTTGAATAGCTGCCTGATTGGCTTAATCCTAGAAGCAGCATTCAGAGAGAACTGAATCAATCAGTAAATTGCAGGACATACAATAAAGAAGAGAGAATCTTGGAGACTCAAAGGGTAGTGGAAGTAGGTGGAAGCTTCAGCAGTTTATGCCACAGAACTGACCCACCAGCATGAATCACCCTGCTGTGGCTCTTCCCCTGAGCAGCCAGAAACTCCTCCCTGTCATTTTCAAGCAATCCCCAATAATGCTATTTAGAGAAGCAGAGCAAAAATAGAATAATTCAGATCTTGATTTCTTGTTTTCTTTTCTATTGAACCTTCTCTTGTGACCACATATTAAAATGAAGCTGATGCATTTGCTGCAGGAACAGAAACTCCACCCATTGATTCTGCTTCCACAAGCAGAGGTCCGCTTGCTGCATGATTAGCCATTGGCACACTCCCTTTTTCCTCCCTGTCTGGGGCCACGATTCATCAGTCTAGGCTTGTGTCACTGATGCCAGCTGGCACACTTGCCATCTCCATCACCTTCCCCAACCCCATTTAGGGATGCATGGAGGGAGGCCATAATGTTGGTGTCACATAAGCAGATGGCAAGGCCATATGGGCCCCAGAACTGGTGGAAGGGTTGAAGATGTCAGCGTGAAGGAAGCAGTTATGACTGTGGGAGGATAACAAGGTGTGACGAACTCACATGCCAGGGACTTTCCTCACTGGTCGCTTCCCAAGAACGACCATCTAATACAAAAAAATGCATTAAGTGCTGATCATTCCACAAGCTTCTAGCAATATCTAAAATCCAGCCTCTCGTTGGGAACTCACATGCCAGGGACTTTCCTCACTGGTCGCTTCCCAAGAACGACCATCTAATACAAAAAGATGCATTAAGTGCTGATCATTCCACAAGCTTCTAGCAATATCTAAAATCCAGCCTCTCGTTGAGAACACCGTGCTTCTAACCAGGCTCTCTGCTGATTAGAGAAAAGCAAATATCACAAAGAGTGATAACTGAGAAGGTCACCAAGCTGAGAGAAGAGGCTGAGAGGACGAGAGCGCTTTTCTGCAGGTTGTAATGTCTGGAGCAATGTGGACCACTAATTTATATGACCTGCTACAAGCTGGGGGAACAGAGGACCAGGCAATGATGGTATGAGTCGTGTGTGTGTCAAGGGGGCTAGGGCAGAGACATGAGGCTGGACTAAGAGGATTGATATCTGGTCTGCAGTGTAAGGGGCATGTTTCAAACTGGAGAATCTCAGTGCTCGGTGATCTCCCTCCCAGTTTTCCCAGGACTGAGTGGTTGCCTGAGGGAATGAGACTCTTAGTGCTGAAATCAGGACGATTCTGCACGAACTGGGGTGCTTGGTCATTCTACCTGAGACAATGAATATTTCCCTCCTCAGAGAGATTTCTTATTCTGATTTAGCCCTGACCTAGCAATGCTAATTATTAATCTGTGCTCCAGTTGGGGAGAGTTCACTAACACAGGGAACAGACAGTGATCTGTAGGAGGTCGTCAGCTGATCTCAAGTGGGATTCACACGTTGTTGTAATGTGTCTGGTGAGCTGGTAGGGAGGGGAGGTTGACAGGAGAACAAGGGAAGGTGGGGGTGAGATGGAGAGCGCAGGTGGTTGTGACGCAAAAGCAACTTCTTCGTGAGGACTCCAGAGGGCATAGCGCACCTTGAGGACCTATGTTTTTCAGTATTGAGAAAGAGCATCCAAGTCACAAGTGTCAGTGGCTGCACATAGAAGGGCTGAGGTGGGAAACCAGTGCAGTAGGCCAAGGGGGAGCACATGAGAAAACTGATAGTGAGCCCTGTAAGCCTTTACTTGGGATGTTTGGAAATAAGTGTGACCCTTTGAGAGGGGCTGCAGGAGGGTCTCCATAAACAACACAGGCAAGAGCCTGGGAGGAGATGGTAATGGCGTACTATGCATGTGTCTCAGCAACTGTTCTCATTTCACATAAATTAACTCAATCTTCCCAGTGAGAAATTAGAACAGAAGGAAAAAGGAAATAAATATGGTGACATAAAATGGAGATAGACAATATATACTCAAATGTGTAATTCCTAACAGTCAACACAATAAAATGCTGGTCAGTTACACATTCCACAGTTTCCATAAGATGAAAAACTAACCACTGGTTAAGGGTAAGTATACTATTTCTGATAGAGTAACCAGACAGAGGGGATGATAGAATAGACAATGACTCAGTGGCATGTACGATGGTGCTATTCTTTATGAGACCGCATATCAACTCAATACAGGTTTAGTATAAGCAAAATTCATAAAAACAACACTGTGGAATAGAATGGAGGTGATGGGCATTCTGATTCAGTCGAGGTGGAACTTGAGAACACAATGAAAGGGTTAAGAGTGTAGGCTAAACTGCCTCCGTTGGACACCAGTTCTGCTACTTATTAAGTGTCGTGACCTAAATTCTTGTGTTTCAGTTTCTTCATGTGTAAAATGGGGCAATAATACTATAGTACTTGCCTCTACAGGTTATCATGAGGGTTAAATGAAGATTG